GTGTTTCTTTCAGTAAAAGAGTTGAGAGTATCAGTTTAAACATATTCCTTTTGAACATTGCATAAGGTTATTAAGAATTAAAGCAATTTAAGGAAAACCAGTGTTTTCAAAACTTGAATGAAAAAATTTAAACATTTTTTAAAAACATTATAACTTTTAAAAAATCTTTCGAAAGAATAATACATTTTAAAATTTAAATTAAAAATAGAACCTTCATTATGCACGATTCATATAATTTTAATTATTTTTCTCTTTTTTTTTTGAAAATTTAAAAAAAAAAGCACTCATTAATTAATCATTGGGTCTGCTTATAAGTTTATAAGTGACACTAGCGCTTGATATAATAATGAGGAGATTTTGATGGCGGAGCGCGTACTGGAGTTGCAGCCACGTCAATAAGCAACGAAGGCATCGAAATAGTGAAAGAACTGTTTTGACAATTCGTCGAATTGCTATTGGTGAAATTGTATTGAATGTTGGCATATCAACCGGGTTCATGTCATGCGGCTTGAAGTCAGAATTAATGAATGAGCTGAGTGAAATACCGAAAAGCACATTTCACAAGCTAAAGATTCGTCTTTACTTTACAAATACACCACGAGTAACTCTCAAACGATTTTTTTTTCAGATTGTTTTTAGTTGAAAAGCCATTAAATAAAGGTATCTAAAAGCGTAAAATTTAGAATTCTACATGCGTAATATATACAAAATAATCATCGAAGTCGGAAAAATTCTTTACGGAGCCCCCCTACAACCAGTTTTTCTGATTTTATAACTAATATTCAACCCTAAGATGATATGTTATAAATTCATGTGATATTGAAGATTTGAAAGAAATTCCATGCAGCTGAATTTACCGGATCTGGTCTCAATGAAAAACTAAAATCAAATACTTTCAAAAAAAGATTGTTGCGTCAAAAATTAGACATTAGTTGGATAATTTAGCTGACACATTTTCCCATACTGAAATGGAGAAATTGAAAAATCTTGATTCCTGCAGAGGGAGGAATTGAGAACTAAAAATTTTAAGCGATTTCATTGAGATAGCAAACTGAGTGGATTTTCGTACTGTTGCCCATCTGTTCCATTAGTTTAAACGTAGTTTTGGGAGCAGAGCGATATTCTAACAACATTTGGTTCGCTATTGAGAATGTTGCAAATTATTTCGCAACATTTTTAGATTCAATCCAATGCTAAAATATCAAGATTTAAAAAAGTGGAGAAATTTCAGCTCCTTTTAATTTATTTCTAATAAAGAGCAACTTCCGCTTACAAGATAACCAAAATTAGATTATGCGGATGGACCATTTGAGGCGCAGTCACGGCCAACATTTGCATGAAATAATCTTCAAACATTAAATTATGTCGATCATACTATCGAATCAAAAAAAGGTTTCATGCATTTTTCTGAATTTTATTTGCATTTTTAAAAAATATTTCTATAGCTCTTAGAAAATCACCCTTTATGAAGTCGATTGCAAGGAGATAGTGAAACTGCATTTCATTTATTGCAACATGATTTAAGTCACTCTTGCTTATGAAACACTTTTTTTAGTTGAATGGCCTGGCGTATAGTGTTCACAATCTTTGCTTGGAAGACACAGTTATAATCATTGAAACGACCTTGATTGCTGACGTGTCTACGAGTTCTTCCATTTAGATGATGAGCCCGTCTCACTGCTGGGAAATGAGAAGATGATATCTACCTTACAGTAGCTTTCTAATATAATTTTCTGAAAGTTGAATCAAATTTTCTAGAACACTTCGGTGACCAGCTGTCAGAGCTGCTTCATATATAGCTTGTATATTAATTAATATATTTAATTTCTATTTTGTCTTCTGGAGCCTATGGGAAGTTGTTCTTATCGCGCCTGTAACTGCTTGTACCTGTTCAAGAGCTTAATGCGACGCTGCTTCGTTAGAGTCGCCCATCATACTAATGCGATGTATATTAACATAGGTCTAACGACGCTTGTATAGTAGGCTCCACTTTAGTGGAACAACTCTCCTGCATGTGTTCTAAATTCCGAGGGCTTTATTGGAACTGCTTTCGATAAGTTCCCACTAGCTTGATTTTCTAATATCAGAAATTACACCAAAATACTAAGGGCAGTTGGAGGGTATAATAAGGTTAGATTGTCCCTGACATGAATGAATTTAAAAAAAAATATATACATAAATATTATTTAATAAAAAATAAAGGGAAATTTACTGCTAATATATAAATTGAAAACTTTTTAAATTATTAAAAAAAAACTAGAACACTCTCTAGTTACATGAACAAATGTATGTATGGTTTTATATAGTAGACTACTAATATCTATGTACATATATTACATATGTATGTTATGCATTTAATTACTATATATTCATGTGACTCTTCTCATTAAATCGCTTAGATACAGCTAGTAGCCTTAATTAAGCATAGAATCAACAAAACTATAAAGCTTATTGGTATACTAAAGTTATTTGTTTGTATAGGTAACGTCACTCTATATATTATATGTACAGGGTGGCGCGCGATTTGTGCTACAAACACAAAATAAAGTATTTCTTTTTCGTGTGATTAATAAATTTCATTTTTTTTTTTTGTAATTTTATTATATACATTTTTTTAAAAATGAGTGCTTGGGATGTCGAAAAGATTTAGATAGTGCAACGGTACCATGCTGTCCATAAAAGGGGAATTCGGACAAGTTGATGTACCATAATGAGGGGTAAACATGTTTGCAGATTCTGGAATCAACGCCAGAAGACCAAGGTATCTCCGTAGGTTTGTGTTCAAGACACAAATCGGCTGTTGGATCGTCAGTTCAGCCAAAGCCAAACTTTTCAAAACTTGTCCGCGCAATTTGGTGTTAGCAGACAGTCATAACAACGGACAACGGACTGAGACCTGTTTGCATGCAAGGTTCAAATCACAAGCCAGCTAAATTGATTTTTTGTGTCTGATGAGGCCTACTTTCTTTTAAACGATAAATTAAGAATAAGCAAAATAAGTCGTAACTTCACTCAGAACCAGTCACTGGGTGGAACTTTCATCGGGGTGCATGCATTTTTTAGTTAACTCGACGTGGTTGATAAACAGACTGACAAAGGTACTGATACTGTTGTTGAGTCTTTTTGATCTTCTTAGATGTACGATGCGATAATGCTTATACCAACCGTTGCTATGTCAGTCAGGCAGTCAACGAAGTTATTTCCTATCTAGGTATTCATGTCGCGCGATTCTTATGGTTAGACAGTGACAGAGGTAGTGCTCTGCAGACGCCTTCTCTTATTCGTCTTGGCAGCTACGACAAAAGTCATTGCGAAACTCTATCATTTTCTTCCCGTGAATTTACACTGAACAGTGTACAGGCATACTGTTGTTGTATCAATGGTAAGCCAGTCTAGGCAGATAAGATCAATTGTGTTTAGTCGCGTTGCAAGCTTCTTCGATAAGCCATCTGGTGTTGGTCGTCTTAGTGGAAGCCGGGTTTAGGCTGAGTTTTCGTGTAGATAAGGGCAAGCTCACGAGGCAGCTAGAATTTATGGTAGTTAGAGTGGTATTTACTCTCGCCAGCTCATCCGTCATACAGTTGCCTGAGATATCAATATGTCCGGACAACCAGACCGTGGCTGAGAGCTTATTTGAAGTGACTTTGCTTCTCAGTTCTACTTTTGATGTGGTGGAATTACATTGAAGAGATCTGATGGCTGCATGGCTATACGAGTTATACTGCCTATTCGATTGGTAGCCAGAGATGCTGCGACTTTCGTGATTGCAATAAGTTCTGCTTGGAAGATTATGATGCAGTCTTCTTTGAAGGAAATGGTGTAACAGTAATAGGCGATGTACACCATTTTTTAATGGATGTTGAAGTCTTTCTTTTTTACTCCGAACTACGCAGAGTACATATTTCCGTTCAATAGCGTTTGGTCCCTTCAATATTGAGTAACAACAGACTGGTTATTGCGGAGCTCCAACGAAAATTTCAAAACAAATTAATAGCCAGAAACTGAACATTCTGCTGACCCCGAAGCTGAGCTGACTGCGCCAGTTTGCCTTTGCCTGAAGTTAGGTCAAGCAAAAGGTGTACAGAACAATACCCTTCAGGCCAAAATAAATAACTTTTTTAATTATATATACATATATATATATGGTTTTTTATGCAGAGCTTTTATTTCATGTCAAAAATACAATCGGAGGGGTTGACATTCCCTACCGAGAGGCGACCGCAATTTGAAATTTTAACTTAGTTTTTTATTTAATAATTGAAATTAATTTCTATAATTTTCGGATTTGAGCCCGGATCTTCCGAAGGGCAGCACGCAATGCTAACAACTCGGCTGCCATAAGTTTCTAATTGGGTGTGGCATATATGTGGTCGAGCAGTATGGTCCTCTAGGGTCTATCATAATTGAAAATAATTTATTATATAAACTAAAATAAATTTTTATTTGTAATAAAAGACTAAAATGAAATGCATTGATTAGAAAAACTTATTTAAGTATCTTACTGTAGCACAATCGTTGCGCCGCTCTGCCCTTTTTTCAATTTCAGTATATTCATTTACACTAATTTTTAAACTTTTAATCGCACACATGCCAAAACGCAGCTCATTAGATTTGTTTACGTGCGATTCAAACTAAAATCGCATACAAAGACACTCTCTCAATTAATGTGTATATACAGATATGTATGTACAAGTGAATATTTATTATTTGCTATTTATATATGTTTAATTTTATATGTATATATTTGTATGTATGTACTTTTTGTGTTAGTCACGCAGATTCCTTTTCAACTCAATTATAATTTGGTTAATTAATTAATTTATTTTAATATTTTTAGCAAATTATTTAACTGAATAATTAAATTTCTAATTTTAATTTTTCATTTTCATTTTTTCCATCTCCATCTCTCTTCGCTTAAATCTCATTACAACTCACTTATTTTGTATTTAATGCATGTACAAATATTATTTATTAATATGTTTATATATATGTATAATATTTTTATTTATTTTTTTCTTTTTTTGTTATGGTGATTTTCTATTTATTTAGTGCATTGCTTACTTGCGATTACGTTGCTGCCATTGGTCATGTCATTACACTCCATTTCGCGCCACGCCCCACACCTCGCCACAACAGCCACACCAGTAAATCGACAATATCCCGTTGGTATGTCGCTGTAGCGTGACAGATGAGTAGTGCGAGCGGTAGAATGCATGCAGCAGGTCCACTATGCAACTGCGCTGCGGCTCGACTACTTTCCGGCCAAACAACTTCGACTTCGGACATTTTGAAAATGCTCAACAGTCGGTGGGATTGCAATTCGTGATGTTCGGTGTTTATGTGATGGCTGATGGTTTTCAATATCGAAGTGCATTCATCCTGAAAGTGGCAGCGATAAGTGGAAAGATGGCAAATGAGTTGGTGTTTAGTAAAATATATTTGCATATTTAGTGTTATTAATAATTTGTTAGTGGAGAAATTGTGTTGTATGGAGGGCGATTCTAATACAGCACGGGAAAGCGATAATTTATTTTTTCATTCTTGTCTAACACTTATGAAAGCAAATGCACATACATACATGCACACAATGTTATAAGTATATATGTTTTGATATTTATATTTAGTTTTAATGATTACCTTCTCTTTGCCAAGCAGTTCAATAGCCTTCAGCTTAGCATCGTGCGGTAAACGAGCAGCAATTATTATGTTCTCATCGGTCATGTTGAAGAGCGTTAGCGTGCACTGTGTCTGTGGGGAGAGAAAGTAAATGTGGGGTATATCAGTGCAAGATGAAATAAATGAGCAAAAAATAACTTAAGCACATATTGTGTTAAATGAAAAGTTATGTATTTATTTAAAAATATTTTATTGTTTTATTATAGGTAAAATTATTATTTATTTAGTTAAATTTAGCTAAGGAATTTTCTCCAGCTTTTTCCGTTGTGGGAAATCAAAGGATATTGCTTGTAGCAACATATTAACCCAATACCCTAATCAAATATATGGTTGAACATAAAAGAATTAAAATTTTCTTTAGAATTTTCGAGACAATAAACAATTTCCGCAATTTCGGGCATAATTCATAACCAATCCCAGTGGCAGTTAGTGGGCCAAACTACACAAACTTATTGGCTCGATAAGCGTTCATAAATGTGAATATTTTTTTCGACATATCCGCGTTGTAGTAGTTGACGGATGAAGTGAAAGTGATTTCAGTTTGAACTATCAGAACTATTAAAGTCAGGCAAGATTTATAGAATAGAAGATTACGACAAGAGCGAAATAATATGTTTAATGACGAATTGTGTGGGTTGCCAAAGATATAAAAAAAAAATTCATAATTTTATCATAATTTATGAAACAACGCAACGATTTCACTATAAAATTCTAGAGTCTTGTATTTATTAAAAAGAAAAATAGCAATCATAATTAAAACGTCCAAAATATATTTTTGTCGAACAAATGTCGGAGAATGCGGTGGCGTTACCAAAGAAAATATGTGTTTTCTATTGTGTAAGAAAATGTTTCCCATTAGCATTAAATACATCAAAATATATTTTTTAAAGAGAAAAATTACTTATTTTGATAATAAATATATCAAGTCTCGCCCACTGTATATATGAGCCGTTGAGTGCAGGACTATCGAGTAGCTCTTTTTTCCTTCCAAATTACACTATCTAAGTCAGGTCGCAGCAACCGAACACTGCTTACTACCAAGCGGAAGGGTACAATATTACTGAAAATTATATTTTTTGATTGCGGTTGCCAAGCCCTTCGAGTGTATTTTAGACAAGAAAGAAAAGCTTAGAATAAACAGTTGACTGGAGATGAACAGTGTATGGTCAGCTACAGCAACGTCGATCGAAAACGATCCTGGTCGAAGGGCAGTGAAATGACACAAACGGATTTTAAGCCAAAATTTGGTCAGGAGAGCTTTTTTGGCAACGAGTTGTCCATTATGAGCTGCTAGCTTGCGGTCAAACAATTTATTCGGAACTTAACTATCAGCAATTGGACCCCCAGAATGATGCATTCGCCCAAAAGCGTTTAATTGTGACCAATATGCGAGAAATAGTATTTCATCAGGACAACGCCAGGGCGCACATACATTGATGGTGAATTGCCTGAAGCTCTGCGCAGTTTGGAAGTTCCACCTTATTGTCCGGAGCTCGCAGCAAGCAATTACCATCTGTTCTTGCCTATGGCGAATGATTTGGGTGGTGAAGAATTGGCCACAAGAGAAGCCTGTGAAAATCATTTGTGAAGGGATAAGAGATCAACAAAGAGAGTCATAATGATATTAACTTCAAAATGTCAAAAGGTTACCGAGCAAAACGAACATGTGTTAATTTTTAACTCTCTATATATGTAATTGGCACTCTGTAACCGCCGAAGAGATTTTCGGCCGAATTCCTCCAATTTGTGGTTTTGCGTCTTGATGTTTTTCCAACAAATGGAGCGACCTACAGTTTATACTAAGCCGGAACCGAACGACTGAAACGGCGATGACTATTCGTTAGGCACTGTCCACACTCACTTTAAATTATCATTATCATCTATGTATTTCAACCAGTCTCAGCCGGTACAGCGACCTATCGGAAAACGGCGGAAGCAAAGTTGTACACCGATAATTTGAACCCGAGTCTGTAACCTTAGCTTAGTGATTATTAGTATGCACAATCATGTTGAGGATGATGACTTCGGTGGTGAGGCTGACGACCGTGGTGAGACGAAAATCCAATATTATAGAAAACTAAGTACGGTCGCCATTTTATCGTGAAATAAAAGCTCCGCACAAAGTCCAGCTGTCTGGAGATACAGCTGTTGGAGGCAGTGGACAACAATGAACTGAGCTAGAATAATGTAGTATCGTCTTCCGATTTTAAGTTTACTATTACAGTTTGACCCCAAAAAAATCATAAAAATAGGATCCAGTTCTGGACACTTGTATGTTGTTGTTATTATTATAAATCTTAACATCATCAAGTCAAGTGTACGTTTACTGTTATCAATTAAATCAAACAATGGTTTAAACTTCAGGTGTTTTAATATATGGTCTCCATAGCTACATGCATACTTTTCTGTGCTTATATTCATACCTGGTTGTCTATATGTGTTGTAACGTATTGCTGCAAAGCTCTGACAGCATCCTGCACACCGAGATTCGTATGAGGTCGTAGAAGCGCTTCATCAGCTGAGCTATAGCCAAGTAGAAGAAAAACGCCACCTGGAAGAGCAAAACACAAAAAAAAATTTAAATCAAAGCAAAAATTTCATTCGATTTCCGAAAATAAAAGGACTGATTGCGCGTTATTATTTATTACAAAACTTTAGCAGAACCCCCATAAATTTAAATTATTATAAAAATGAATTTTACAAGTACATTACTTATACGCACTGGTGTACTAATAAAGCAATGTTTCGGAATAGTAAAAAAAATTATGGTATTTAATAATAATACGGAGTGTGACAATTAAGTAAAGAGACTGATAATATTGCCGTGATTGTGGTAACCCTGCGACTTTGAAATTGCCTTCCCCTCTCCTGGCATCCATCTTCTCTCCATCGATGTATTGAATAGCTCGCTTGCTGTGTAGTGTTGCGTAAACGTGAGTTCGTGGTGCTCGTCACGAAAATGGAAAAACGAAATCAAGAGCAATGGGCGAAAATCCTTCGGAAACGTACGCTGATATTGTAATAGTGCATTGGGATAGTGCTTTTAGTCTTGCCAAAACTCACAATGGTTGTCTCCGCACTTCTCCGCCGGAAAAAGCTCGAAAAGTGGAAAGTCGAAGGTGAAAATGATGAGTGTTGAATTTTTTGATAGCCGAGAAATCGTTCACAAACAATTTCTTCCACCGGGTAAACCGTAAATCAAGTCTACTAGCGCCATGTACTCGAAAGATTGCGAAATCGAGTCAACAGGATGTGCCCAGACATCACACGTAATTGGATCTTTCATCACGACAACGCGCCGCGCCACACCGCGCTCAGTGAGTCCCAGGATTTGGTCTCTAAAGGGATTGTCGTGCTCCAACAACCGCCTTGTTCGCCCGATATGTCACCCTGTAACGTTTTTTGTTCCCTTTAAAAAAATCGGTGGTCAAAAGAACCCATTTTGAGTCGATCGAGAACATCCAGGCGTCCGTGACGAGGATATTAACAGACATTCCAGTCGAAGCGTTCCAGAAATGTTACGAAGCTTGGAAAACGCGCTGGAAGCGTTGTATAGCTGTCCAGGGGGACTACTTTGAAGGGGATGGCAGAATTGTAGAATAATTTTAAAATACTCGGTTTTTATGGAATCAGTCTCATTACTTAATTGTCTTACCTTGTAGAGCTCAAGATTTTGGAGCTAGAGCATTTTTTTAAGTTTTTCTCAGAATTTTTTACTGTAATTTCAAATTTTGTTACAGCTCATAAATAAAATTTTCAAATTTCCAAAAATTACATACTATTTTACCTAAAATTTTGTCAGATAGTTTTCTAGATATGTAAATAGTTCTTTTAGCTTGAAATTTTTTTTCGGAAAACATATTTTTTTCTTAATATTCATATTCATGGTTGGCTTTCGTTAAATTCTTTGATGCTATGCCTAATTGTTATACTTTTGTTTCTTTCTAGTGAACCATAGACCTGGAAACAATTTTGAATTGTTCGCTATAATCCTGTTTTCTTTAAACCAAAGATATCTCTGGCAGATTGGAACAAATTGGTTTGATTTGGATATAACCGTAGATTCAATATTTTGTTATTTTGCGGCGATATGTTCGCCTTGAGTGTGAATGAGAATTGATCAGGCATGCATTTTGACCTTTTCTTGAAAGACTCTGAAAAGCGGGAAGTGGCGCACACATAAAAATAAATAAATAGTTACATACGGAGGCGGCTGAGTACTTAATGAAACAATGTATATAGTTCTACAATATGCTCTTTGTTTTTGAGCATAGCGTTCCTCAAGTGAAATTCATTTTTCACAGCGTGAATATTATGCCTTTATATCACTGAAAAAATATTCTTCAGATTTCTCTTAAAAATGGTTTCCTACGGCCGCTTTCATCTTCGTTCCCGGAACTTCTTTTTAAACTTGAAAAAAAGCAAAAGTCCCTGTTAGCCAGTTTCCGAGCGATATGAACGGTTGCCATGTCTTGAAAAACAACATTTCAAATGCTAATTTACCACATCTCTTTTGTACGACTGTCTAAAAAAATTAGCGTAATATTGGCCGATTTCAATGCAGTTCACTTTGGCAAGTAATCAATTAATAATACTGTACAACTGCGCTGCGGCTCGACTACGTTCCGGCCAAACATTTTCTACTTCGCACATTTTGAAAATGCTCAGCAGTCGGTGGGATTACAGTTCGTGATGTTCGGTGTTTATGTGATGGTGAATTATCCAACAGAAGCTTTCAATCCTTTGGAATTAGCGGGAGTTCAACATTTGCAAATCGGCGTGATCATTATAATGTCACGTAATATTAATCAGCCGAAGTTCTGCAACGTTCTCACTACTCGATTCCATCCGATGCTTCCTTTCAATTCAAGCGACTAGAGTTCTCTGTTCGACTAGCGTTTGCAATCACTAGCAACAAAGCTCAGGGTAAACTTTTGGAATCGTATGGTCTACACTGAGATACGAATTGCCTCGCACATGGGAATTTGTGTGCTGTATCTTCTAGGTTTGGCAAACCATATAACCTTTTGTTATGCTTTGGTCGATGGTAAATGTAATGTTGTCTACCCACAAGTATTGAGAGTAAAAAAATTAATACCGCAAAGGTATTCAATATTATTTTAATAATATTTCTTAAATTCAATGAGTATGAGCCAGAGAGAAACGTTGCAGGCTACAGCTAGTGTTTTTATAAAATTTCACTTTATTCTTTAAAATTTCATCGATATAATGCGGCTGCTGAATTTTTTCTCTTTTGAATTTACGAATACCACAAATAGGTATTCCTTAAATCTTTTCTATAAATTTACCCATTCCAACCCGTAGACAATACAACTGCCAAACATTTATATTACACAAACTAGAAACAAGTCCTCGAATAGTTAAAGAAAGGAAACACTTAAATTTATATATAAATTAACTTGGCAGACACTTACCTGGCAATGTATATTCACCCAACGGTGGCTTCATACATATAAATCGACCGGAATAACAGAGACAACGCCCGCGGAATGCCTGATATGCGGGTGAAGCATGACTGTAGAAGGCCAAGGCGGTACGGCAGGGCGCAAATGGCACACAAAGAGCGTGACAGGTGAGCGTTAGTGATTCTCCGCAACTGCACAATTCACTGCATTCAGCATCGTCCAGGGAGTAGATCTGTGCACGAAAGTGTGTGATGTGTAGTAGAGCAGATGGAGAAAGCAGATAAGTAAGAAAATAGAGCAAATTACAATGGTAAAGGTATGAATATTTAATATTTTAAAACTGTTACATTATTAAATGTTAAACTTTTTGCTAGGTAATTGATTAGTCTAGAAATAAACAACCTTCAATAGTTTGCACAAAAAACTTAAATATTTAAATTTACACCTACCCGCCTACTGGAGCCTTCACGTATCAACTGATCCGACTGATGTGGACGCTGCACGACGCAGTTTCCTGAAATTAAAAAGTTAATGAAAAGAATTTAAAATTTTTTTTTTTATCAAAAATGAGGGAAAATGCTGGAGTCTGCAAAATGATTAATGATTGAAAATAATATTTATAATTTTTTTAATTTCGCAATGTTAAAAAAAGATTTCCACTCATTTTCGTGTTTAAATTTTTGCTTGCAACCATTCCTGTCTGTCAATTTTTTTTAAATTTTGCCTTGATCTTTAATAAATAGCAGGCTAAATATGGTACGAATAAATAAAGTGCATCCGACCGCGGGCAGATCTTTAACCTACACTTTTTAACAATCGATGAGAATTGCCTCGGATGTGATCTCCGATTTCTAACATAAGAAAATGATAGAAAATGGACTAGAAAGACTAAAATTGCACTAGCAATTCATTAATAAATAGTCTCTCTACCAGCTAAGTAACTACATCGCTTCAACGACACATAATTTGAGGTTAATAAGGTTAATAAAATTAATGTTTAGCTAAAAAAATATGGTTGATTGCTGCAGCAATTGATCGCATAGTTACCACGCAGATCTGAAATGTCATTTACAAAACTTCTTGCTGGACCCATATCTAAATATACTCCTGCGCAGTACAGACTGATATGGTTCAATGATTTCGGCCGAAGCTCTTCTCTAATTTGTAGTATACGTATTGACGTTTGCCGTTCTATGCCGCCTCGACACGTTCGATGTAGTTAAGCCACTTTTCAAATTATACATTTCTCCCGAAAATTCTATGAAAAGAAGGGGCGACTTTCGGAAGATTTCACGACAGGAGCAACATTTTGTAGCACCCAGGAAGATAACCCCATAGTTTACTGAATTTGTTGAGGGGAACACGCCCCCAGTCTGCTGAACGGCAGTGTAAATGGAACAACTGGGAATGATGAGCGCGGATCACAATCGATGTCGATGAAAAAGACGTTCTAATACTCGACTATGACAAGGGCAATTGCCCACTTAAAAAACAACGCAGCAGCTGGAGCTTACGGCCCAAAAACAGAATCAAACACGGTGGTGAAGAGCTGAAAGGGTGCATGCATCAGCTACTTTGCAGAATATGGTTTAATGAAAGTTTGCACGAATATTGGAATTTCTGAATGCTTCATAAAAAAGGGGATCTCACAGTCTACGACTCTCAAATATTGCATATAAGATACTTTCAAGCGTATTGAGTGAAAGACTAAAGTCTACCGGCTGTTGGAACCTTGTCAGCGTGGCCTTGGACTTGGTATTTAAGTACACCATCCGCCATATTTTGGAAAAGATGTTAGAAAAGAAACGATACAAATCTGATTTTTATCGATTTTAAAGCATTCTTTCGATAGCTCGGTAAGGAGCTGCTTCTGGTTCTCTATGTTTAAAATTACAAAAGCTTTACAGCTGAGTTAACTGACACCGAAGAGAGTTGGTCTGGTAGTGAAGAAGGGAAGAACAAAATAACTCCTGTCATCGAACAAACAGTCAGCGCATTCGCGACTGGGCTTCTGCGTCACTGTCGACGGTCATAACTCCAAGGTCTTAGATTATTTCGATTTTTCAGAAACCAGCAGTAACACAAATGATAATGTCAACCTTGAAATCCAACGCAGAACCATTCTTGCCAGCGGTTTCCACTTTGGACTGAGTAGGCTATTGAAGAGTAAAGCCCTTACTTGGCGAACTGAAACCAAACTCTACAAGTGCCGCATCACACCCGTCCCCTGTAAGATACAGAAACCTTCACGATGTCGACATTTGTTTAGTCGGCTCTGGGAGTCAGCGAGAATGGAGTTTTACGCTTAATTTATAGTTCTTGGTGCATTGGCTATTTGAATGATATATTTATTTATTTTTCGTTTATTTTCTAATCGCAATGTCAATAACCTTATAACAAATTTGAAATCTGTATAAAAATAAATTTTTTATCTGGGACGAAAGTTTTTAATTTCGTTAACTTAATTTTCATATTTAAATTATAATATTTCTTTTGCTTCCTTTGACTAAAGAAATATGACGACTGTCTTATTAAATTATACCAGTAAAAAGGGCTGAGGAAAATTTTTCAAATTGTTTGCTCTAATTTTTTGAACCGTTATTTTTTGCTATAAAACTTGGGCGTAATTAAAATTACTTTGCTTATTTGTTTAATTAACTTTTTTTGATAGGCAGCTTAAGCGGGTGAGTGTACTAACAATATTCAAGGCCTTTGAAGCCCCAAAATAAAGGGTCTTCATAAAATTCCTTCAGCCGTTCGGAGGCGGCATGGAATAAATTGTTGGTTCTTCCATTTGTTGAAAAAAGATTAATTCGCATACCACAAATGGAAGGTGCAGCTTGCCCGAAAATCGCTTTAGTGGTTTTAAAGTGCCAATTAAATACTTAACTTAAAAAAAACTTACTTCATTTTTTCTTGCAGCTGGTATTTTTTAAGTATTTCTATATCGTGTTATGAAGTTTATTATGTGACAACACTTTGCTTTATTTTTTCCGCTTTAAAACACTGGAAACTTGTTTTGTGTTATGTTACGAATAATTAATTTTTAATACCCCCACGACTGAAAGTTAAAACATTTTCCATTTATTTGTAAATGTATTGGTTATTCGATTTTTACATAACCAATAACACGGAAATCCATATGTTTCCGCTGATAGCATTTGGAATACTCGAATAAACCGCAGCAGCAGAGTAAATGAAAAGCTTTCATAAACTGTATATAGGTACATATGTACATACATATGTATGTGTTTACGCGTACATTATCGTAGCTACAAAAAGTAACGCATATTTGACTTAAATCGGGCAAATGTACACAAAGTTATCATATTTTGAAAAACAGCAAAAAAAAAAAAAACCGAACGAACTTTTTACTTTACCTAATATATCAAGATTTTTCACCTACACAGGATTTGCAAAACATTTTCTTTGGGAATGTGTTTGATAATAATGATACCAATAGGTTTTTTAATTTATTCATTGCGTTCCGATGCAACTTCTGAGCTTTCGAGTTTATGAATTCAAAATTTTTGTTATCCCCTTTTTTATGATCGTAATCTTATCTTATAAAATTGACTTAATTTGATCCTTCTTTTTCGACATAAACTCCGAGTTGAAAAAAAAAACTCACAGAAAATATATTTGCAACATTTTTAAAAAATTTTATTTAACGATAGCGAAAGTCGATAATTTTCGCCCCCCCCCCCCCCCCCCCCCCCAAGGACCAGTTTGAATACGTAGTGGGTATTCCCTATCGCTCAAAAATATTCAAATCGAAAAATTGCATTTTACTTCTCATTCGGCCTGCTTACTCTTAGCTGAATTTAAATTTTTTTTTTATTTTTTGTGATTTGTGGCACTTTTACATTGAATTTGCGATTTTTCTAAATTTCTTACTTACTTGGCGCTTGCGTTGTTGTTGTGGTTGCCACTGTTGTGGTTATTGTGGTTGGTGGTTCAGTTGCGCTAAAACCCGCATATTCAGTTGTTTGAATTTGTTCGCCAGAAATCAGTTGATCATCGAAATCGCCAAAATCATTTCCATTACCATGAGCAACGCCAACGGCAGCGCCAACGTCGGTAGCTTCCGCCGCCGCTGCATGACCGTTGGTGCTGTGATGGCCGACACCCAAATTTTTGCCATTGCCATTGCCGTGGCCATTGCCATTGAAATTGCCGTTGCCGTTGCCATTGCCGTTGCCGTTGTTGTGTTTGGCGTTCTTGCCGTTTTTGTTGTTTTTACCATTCTTACCATGACGCGGCACATTGACGGCAGCTGCACTGGCATTGTCAGCACTGCCAGCGCTATTTCCACTACCGTTGCCTCGCCCACTGCCATTGCCATTTCCAGCATTGCTGCTGCCATTGGCGCCGTTACTCTTACCCTTGCCGTTGTGATAATCGCCATTTCCGGCATTTCCGTTTTTATCATTTCCGCTGTGCAACGGTATCGAATCTGGCTGTTCGATATAATTGTCCTCCATGGATGTGGGCTCCGATTTCTCTTTTGGCTGCATTGCATTTAACGGTTTTTTTTATTTATATTTTATTTTCATTTCGGTACCGTTGTATTTGCATTATTTGCATTATTTCCAGTATTTTTTTATGTAAAATTTGCGATTGTATGTGGTTATTGAAGTTGGTTGTTGCAATTTGTTGAACGAATTGTTAAACACATTTTTTCCGGATATAAGTGGTTGTTGTTGTTGTTATTGTAGTACATTCAGGTGGGCATGTCGTGTGTTTCGTCACATTTACAACATGAAAGTAAATAAGAAATATTGAGAATTAAAAGTTAAATATTTATGTATGTATGAGTGTTTTGTAAACGCGTGTATGTACGTGCGTGTGTTTTGCATATTTATTTGCATACATTTATAACAGTAAAAAATCTGATGCATTGCTCACCCAATCTGCATTTTTTTCCAATTTTTATCTTTGATATATAATGTAAATATATATATGTAATAAAGTAGCTGTAAGCATATATATTTATATGCAATTATGCTCAAATGTAAAACAAAGCTCATTTGAATGTTTGCAATTTGTTTAGTAAAATCGAAAAAACAATAATTTTGGGCCTACTTAATTGGTTTTTGGGACGAGTTTCAAGAAAAATAACTGTGAAAAACTGTTAAAATTAATTCATTTGACAAATTATAGTAAATTCTTCTGGGCCATAAAATTAAAAAAAATTGCACTTGAAATATTATTATATAAATAGGGTTATCCCTTTCGTGGTTTCAAACGTACAGGGCTATATTTTGACATCCACATAATCAAATATATTTTGTTTGAGTTAAAGTTCGGGCGTTTATGAAGATGTATCGATGAAGGGGGGAACCTGGCTTAGAGGGTCGAAAATTTTGATTTTTTGAAACTTATCTCATTCGATTAGAAATATATTCAGAAATATTTCCACAAAATTTCAGAGTCAAATTCCTAATTGGTCCGCAGAAATGGCCTCCGAGAGACAATGCACTCATGAGACTGATAAGCGGGTGCAAGAGCTTTGAACGCGATTTTTTCAAAACAGTATTTTCCTGTTTTTTACACACGATTAAAAAAGTTGTAATTGTCGCATTTTCATTGTGAACCTAAAAAATCCCAATAAAAAAATTTTTTTATTAACTTTTTGCAAAAATTATCATAAAATTTCTTCAGAAAAACGCAAAATTTTTTATAAACAGTTATAAAATAATTAATTTTATACATTTCTTCGAATATCTTAGGTTCACATAGAAGAGCAACTCCAAAGCTACAAAGAAAGTATTCGTTTTTATGTTTCAGATGAAAACTACGATCGCTATCGTGTTCACAAAATAGACTCTTCGAGCGAGAAGTGCCACAAACAAATATGAATTGTTATTGCTTAACAGTATCAAATAAAGTGAAAGTAAATTTTTGTTTTGCAAGATTTGTATATCTATGACCTATTTCAAAAATACTTGAAACATTTCATACGTAAGGCAACCTAAAACACTGTGCCGAATATCATGCAAGTTTCAGCGTTCTAAATCAGGTTCCCCCATTAAAACCTTCTTAGAGAGCGGTGATTTAAACGAAGAAAGAAGGGTGTTTGGTGCATGGTTCACATAATCGTCGAACTACTCAAGTGATTGGTAAAATGTTAAAGAAATGTTAAAATGTTAGTCCGGATTGCTTACAGATATTGTAAGGCCTGTGCATCATCGTTTTGCCCGTTCCATCTTTAATATTTCTACGTTAAGTAAAAATGTTACCAAAGATTCGAATGTGCATATTTCTCGATGTTCTGAAGAACTATAACAATGACATCACATTATGGCGTGTTTTGTATTTGGACCTACACCTTGAAGCCAGCGGATCAACAAGCAGTGGACGACGAGTTTTCGAACAAAATTTACACCAGCGACTAGGCACTATTTTCACTTGGGGGACACGTAAATAACCAACAGTGTCACATTTGGGTATCCCATAATCATCAAATAATTAAAGAGAAACAATTGCATCCAAAAGAAACTTATCGTCTGGTGCGATCTTTTGACCTTGCTTCTTTGAAAATTACAATGGCGAGACTGACAGTGTCAATACGAAGCGTTATGGTCGTATGATGACCAAATTTTTTTGGCCTGCAATTCGAGAACACAACTCAAACATTATGTGGTTTCAACAAGATGGTTCCACATGTCGCACAACATGAGCCTATATAGCTATATTGCGAGAGAAACTTTTCGGTCTCGCAGTCTCTCATCTTTATGTTTACAATTGGCCATTGAGATTATGCGATTCAACACAGCTTGATTTTTTATTTTGTGGGTATGCAAAAGACCGTGTTTATACGGATAAACCTTTAACTCTGAAGATCTTAAAAACCAACACTCGTGTATTATGAATTAGATGCGGTCCAAAATGTGCCAAATATGTCTTAAGTTATTGAAAAGTCTTTATGTCTAAATTTTGGGAACTCATTCAATACAACAGTATAAAATGACAATACCTCCATTAGGAACCGAGAAGAACCATTCAAGTCATTCAACTTAATTTTGAAGAAAATAATAAAAACTACAGAGCTTATAAGACAAAATAAAATATCTTATAAGAGTTTAAAGTTACCGACAGGGAGAACTTTGTATTCGTTCATCAAGAATTTGAGCCTTGAAGTTTAGCAAAGAGTTCTACTACATTTGGCTAGATAGGTAAATGAGAAATAAAACCTTCTCAAGAGTAAATCGCATATCATTCCCAGATTTTATATAACGTTTTGGCTTGGACGATGACTACGAATTGGCAGTGGGAGTTTTCGAGAGCATGCTTATGCGAAAGAATTATGGTGCTATGGAGAAAAGATCAATGACTTATAACGCATTCCATGAAGCAGTGAGTCGAACGTTATATGCGACGAAATTCACATAGTTCAGCGAATTAAGTGAAGTGGCTAGTATTGGGTGTATGCCTTAATTCATGCGGTTTTCTAAGACAGGGCTCTACTAGTATTATTTCGCGTCGTGTTCATCTGTGGCTATATTCATTTCAAAGGTACTGTCATTTCGCGTAGTTTGCAGTAGATACCATTTGTTTTAGCGCGAACAACAATTTGTTTCATTCAATTGAAAATATCCAAATTTGTACCACATAAAGTGTTTTTGCGGGGAGTTCTTCTTCATTACTTTAACATGAAGAAAAGTGCTTCCGAAAGCCATCGTACTTTGATGAACGTTTATGGTGGCCATGCTTTAGCCGAACGAACGTGCCAAAAGTGGTTTGCACGGTTTACAAGTGGCAATTTCGACTTAGACGATGGAGAAAGACCCGGACAGCCAAAAAAAAAATTTCAAGACGAAGAAACGGAGACATTGGTCAACGAAGATGCATGCCAGACGCAAGAAGAACTTGCAAAAGTATCAGGAGTTCATCAATCAACTGTTTTCAGACGATTAAAATCATTAGGATTCATCCAAAAGCTCGAAAATTGGGTATTTATGAATTAAGGCCAATAGACGTCGAACGTCGATTCTGCTTGTCGGAAATGTTGCTTCAACGCCACCAAATTTTTACATCGGATTGTCACTGGCGATGAAAAATGGATTCATTATGTTAAACCAAAGCTCAAGAGATCGTATGTAAAGCCCGGTCAACCATCGACATCCACGGCAAAGCCGAATATCTATGGTGCCGAGGTTATGCTATGTAGTTGGTGGGACCACAAGGGTGTGCTCTATTATGAGCTATTGAAATCGGGTCAGACGATCAATAGAGACCTCTACCGAAAACAATTGATTCATTTGAAAAAAGCCATCGCCGAAAAACAACCAAAATATGCAACCAGACACGAATCAATAATTTTTCATCATGGCAACGCTCGGTTACATGTTGCAAGGCCGGAGTACGCTTCACTTCAGAAATCGGCTCGATTCTTTCTTAACCTCCAAGCCGGTGAAGTTCTTTTGGGATGGAATCCACAAACGACCAGAAAGATGGGAAAACATCGTAGCTTCCGGTGGGCAATATTTTGAACATTAAATGTATAACAATTTTTTCACAAAACATGTCAACAGAATGAATGGGAACACTCCTGTATTGAAAGTTTTCGCTGCTGTACCCGCCGGTGGGAGCAGTAGTTTCGTTTGTTTCTTTCGGCTATGAATTAAGAGGATGCTCACAAAAATCCATCGGCCGTTCAGAGGCGACTTAGAATAAAAAAAACATTAAACCGGTTCAGCGGCGGCATGGAAAAATCCAGTAATTTCCTAAAATCTCCAAAAGTTATCGACGGAGTGACTTGAAATTTCGTCAGATTGCTTCTATGATACCTGTGCAGGTGTGGACCAAGGACTGACTTATTCGAAAAAAGTCTATTTACGATTCGCTTAACTTAAAACTCGGTACATAGAAACATAAAAACAATGTTTAATACCTAATGAATATTTAATACCCTTTTTATTACTAATCGATAGAACCATTAACGCTTGCAACGCCGCCACACTTACCGGATAACCGCGAAATATGTGAGTTGTCTGCTTACGCGATGTCTGTCGCGGTGATGTGGCCGGCTGCCGGTGTGTTGTTGTGGTGGTAACAGTTGTCAGCACAGGCGGTGGTGGTGGTGGCGGAGGCGCACGTGTTGTTGTTGTCGTGGTTGTAGTAGTTGTTGTGGTGGTAGTTGTGAGATATCCCAATTCGGCGAGACGTTTCATATGAAAATCCTTCTGCGCCTCAACTGTTGCGAAAAGGAGTGAAGAAGAAGAAGAAGGAGGTGAAGAACAAGAATAATGATGAGAAAATCTTTAATATAAGCATTACTTAACACATTTTTAACAAAATTTAAATCTTAAACAATTCCTTTTAGTACGTAAAATATTAGCTAATCGGCAAAATTTGTACTCACCAACACAAGGATTCAGCCAAAGTAAACGTCGCCAGCCCACACACTGATAGAGATGCTGCGGATCGGTGCCCTGACAGGCGCAGGTGGTGCGCAGCATTGTGCCGAGTATGCCAATCATGGCTATGCGGCAGCCACTTGGACGGCCCGCGCATTTCTTCGTCACGCTGTCCACGGCACAGGCCTGTTCGTAGTACTCCAATTTGAGTCTAAGTACAGTGAGTAGAAGCGGAAGAGGCGGAAAGGTAAGAAAAAAAGAAAATAATGTAAGTCCATTTATTAGTCTATTAAACTTAAAATCTATAGATGTGAGCTGCTGAAATATGCAGCTAACCGGCGGCAAGTGCGGGCAAGTGGCAACGGAGCTCAGACGCTCAGCCAAGCAGCAGCTATTCATTGCAGTAAATGTAATAGTTTGGAATAGTTTGTCAGCATTTTACTTTCGACCTCAGTTGGATGCTAAGCACATACACACACACTCACACAATCGCACACTCACACACAAGTGAAAAATTGCTTAAATAAGCACTTGAGGAAACTAATTTCACACACACATACACACGAGTCAAATTGTGCCCGTTGATAGTTATCCGAAATTCGTTGTTGTAGCAACAAGAACTCTTCGTAACATGCTTTCGCCGGCTTAGGAAGCACATTAATAAGTAACATACAGACGCTGGCATAACATCTTGGCAACACGTTCCAGCACTAATTGCCATGTCGTCGTTGTCTTAAGAGCACTGCAATTAAAACATAATTGAAGTTTTCAACGCTTCATCGTCGACTGTGCATGCCTTGGTTAACAGAGAGATTCCACAAGAAGAACAAGTATGTTGCTTCGCTTCAGCTTCCCACCAGCATCCCACTGGCTGCGCAGCCGCTTCTCACCCACTTGCTACACAAACAATTCAGCCAATTGAGGTCAACGAGGGAGTTTAGTGTGGAATTGTAGTATTTTCTTTGCCTACCAAGTCTAATTTTAGCTGACACAAAATCAACTCCACGCCACATCTGCACTGTATTTAAGATAGGAATTTGTACTATTTTTTTTTTGATTTCTAAAGCAAATGGATAGAGAATCTCAAATTTAGAACTTTTAACCTTAAATATTTCATTTAAGATTAGAAATCACATCCAATGCAATAGGGCATGGTGGTTCACCAATTTTACTACCCCGGATTCTTGAGACACAAACGCACATTATTAATCGCTGTATTACCACGTCGCAATGGAAAATTATCCATCCATCTGCAATAACCATCTTTGTAGTTCGTTTCGACATTTTCATTTTCGACTAATAAGTATACTCCCTGTAATGTCTAAAGTATTAGAGATGCTTTTGGCTAAACCAATAAACGAATTCATAAGCAGGCACTACTTAATATCTCCGTTTTAATCAGGCTTCAGGAAAAATCACCGCTGTAGTACTGCGGTACGTAAGATCTCTGATGATATTCGATCGAACATGGATCAAAATAAACTCATCCTGCTTTGCTTACTAGACTTTGCAAAAGCGTTTAACATGGTCAACCATAAATTATTAAGCTGTGAGATGAAAGCGTACTATGGATTAAGTAGTAGTGCTTTGAAGCTTGTGGAAATCTATCTTGTTGACAGGTTTCAGTTAGTAAAAATTGGGGACGACACATCGCAACGCAAGCCAGTTACTTTAGCGGTGACTCAAGGCTCCATCCTTGGTCCACTGCTTTTCAGCATATTTATTAATGACATCTTTAGTATGTGCAAATTTTCAAACCTGCATGGTTATGCTGATGACATTCAGTTATATTTATCTGAACTTTTTGATCAAGCTAAAGACCTATGTAAAAGCATTAATTCGGACTTGTCTGATATTTCCACCTGGCCGGTTGCCAGCGGTCTAATTTTAAATATTAACAAGTCCTGTGTGTTGCCAATCAAATCTAGAAAACTGACAAATCCTAACTCTAATCCTACATGCATGGACCATTTCAATTCCATTGTTAGTAAGTTCTATCTAATTCTGAGGAATCTTAGTCAGCTGTCTTTCCACCCAATGCTAATAGACGCCGATTTGATATGCAAATTGTTGTTCCGGTTTCATGTACTCTCTTTCCAAATATGAGCACATCTCGTCTTAGAAAGATCAGATATTGGGATGTACGATGGCGGACTATCATAAAGCCAAGAATTGTATTTTTCTTTGCAAACTTATTATGACGCAATCTCCTAGCTATCTTTTTTCCCAGTTATCGTTTATAAATCACAGCAATCATCAAGGCTGTTCTTTGTCAATGCAATTTCAACATTGACTGCCAGCACCAGAAACTGCTGAAATACGCCATTACCTCTGAGCTCTATCCAATAAATTCATAGTGTGTAATTGTTTCCTATGGAGCTCGCAACCGAACTCCATTAAGAACTAAAAGCCTCTATGAATTAATATCGAGGTATTATTAAACATCATCTTCCTCCTATCCCCCAAGCTCAGGTACCAATTTTACTGAGATTTTGGCTCAACGAACACAATTCAGTAAAATTGAGTAAAATTTGCTACTGCCTATCTAGAAGTCGAACCGAACTAATACACGCTTCAACAACGCATTGAAAATATTAAAGTTCGCTATAAAAATGGTGAAAACAGGGCAGAGACGGTTTGTAAAACTAAAACATTTTTCGATCATCGTAAGGCACCTTGTCGGACCGCAACACAGAAATTAGTGGAAAAATTTGAGGTGTTGGGACAAGTTAGTGACGTGAAAAATAAAACACTGACATGTCGCTCAAGGCAACGGAGAATATTGCTGCTGTAGCTAAAAGTGTTGAAGTAACCCCAGGGTTGACCATTCTTCGACGTTCTTTGGAATTCCACATTTCACAAACGTCATTACACCGTATTTTGCAAAAAAAAATTTAGTCCTAAGACTATTAAAGTTCAGTTAAGACAAGAACTCAAGTTAGCTGATCATCAAAAACGTCGGGTCTTTGCTGACAGGGTCGTAGAATTGCATTCAAAAGAAGCGGTATTTCAATAGAAAATCTTCTGAACTTATGAGGTCCGTTTTCAAATCTATGTTTAAGTCCATCTGGCTTTGGGAAAACCCAAGATTTCTTCTTGAAAAGCCCCCTCCATCCTCAACGTGTAACTATTTCGTGCGGTTTATGGCCCAGCGAGGTCTTTTAACCTTACATTTCCGATGGGATGGAGCAACAGTTAATGGATTGCGTTATCAAGATATGATTTTTCATGTTCGAAAATGAATGCTATTGATCTTGATAACTTTTACCTTCAACGAGATGGCGCTACGTGCCACGTAAGCAACGAAACAATCGATTTTTTATAGGAAGGTTTTCGAACCGTGTTATCTCGGGAAGAGGAGTCACGTGAAAGGTAAGGTCTAAGTTAGCAGGCAAACATTGATTAAAGACTTCGAAGATGGATTTCGTGAAGCTATTGAGGGCATGCACTTTGCGATTTGGTGATAGGCAATTTCATAAAAAGAATGAGGTCTCCTTCATCTTGAAATAAACAACCGATCGTGTATCTCAAAAAAACATTTTTTTTGAATATCAAAATATTACTTCTTATTGGAATACCCTGTATAAGGCAAGTTTCACACTGTGAAATATGAGGGCATGCGGTAGACCCCAAATAGCATTTTCTTCGGGCACTAATGTAATTTTAACTCTTTTCTCTATACTTAACTTAGCAACATCTTTTGACTCTTAAAACTCTATCCATCTATTTGACCGTTAGTAAAATATGTAGCTATGTCATCTATGTAGGCAATTAGCTTAGATGCTTTCCTATACAACATTTTTAGAATCTCGCTTTCTATAAGTGACCACAGTAGCGGTGAAGCACGCTCAACTGAAGAGTACCTCTAAATGATGGTCTGTACAGCCTGGTTTTTTCTACTCCCCAGCGTATGTCCTTCTGCCGCTCAGTGGTCTCTGGCAAATGCCAAATTCTATGCGGCTGCTTCAAAGCAATACTTTTAATACGAGTTACTTAATATTTTTTTAGCTCAATTGATTTAAGCTTAGTGAAAACTCCAAAGAGCAATTTCCCAGATTTCTTCATTTCCTTTATGCATCTAAAGGGTGATTTTTTAAGAGCTATACGAAAGTGTTTCAAAAAAACACTTAACTTCAGAAAAATGCATGAAACCTTTTTTGATTCGATAGTACGATCGAAATAATTTAATGTTTGAAGATTATTTCATGCAAATATTGACCGGAACTGCGCCTCAAGTGGTCTATCCGCTTAGTCCAATTTTGGCATACTCTTTCCAACATTTCGGCCGGTATCTCACGAATATTGAACCATTTATTCGTTGTCGTCCAATGCGTCAATTGAAGAGGGCTTGTCTATATAGACATTAGATTTAACATAGCCCCCAAAAAATAGCCTGAAGGCGTGAAATCTCACTAGGCGGCCAGTTGACCGGTTTCGAACGTAGAATAAAATATTCACCAAACTCGCCCATCAATAAGTTCATGGTTACGCGTGTTGTGTGGCATGTGGGAACGTCTTATTGAAATCACTTGTCATGCAAGACAAGCTCTTGCCTTCTGGGCAAAAAAAGTTTATATCATCTCATGGTAGCGCTCACAATTCACACTTATGGTGCGATTCGCATCATCTTCGAAGCAGTATGGTCCAATGATGCCACCAGCCCATAAACCGCACCAAACTGTGATTTTTTTTGGATTCATTGGTAGCTCTTGCAATGTTTCTGGCTCATTTTCACTCCAAAATCGACAATTATGCTTATTGACGCACCAATTGCGCCAAAAACGAGCTTCGAAGCACCCACGGATTACGCATTTTAATAATAAAATTCAATAGTTTGAAAGCGTCGTTCGTTTGTAAGACGACTCATAGTTAAACTATGGACCAAAATGAAGATTTCTGACAGTGATACAAAACACGAAACGTGGGTCAGGTGTTTAAACCACTGTTGCAAAAAAGATAATAGCTAAAACATCACCCCTTACAATTTATTTTTAATATTTATCTATATCTAAAAAATCAGAAGGAAATTAGTACTTAACACCTCGAAAAGGTTTAGCGTCATTGTAATCTGCATAGAAGAGTTCTATTAAAGCTAATTCTTTCATTGCTACATAAGCTCGTCAAAGTTACTTTTACCCAACAAAAATAAATATATTCAGCCTTCCTCTTACTTCGTGGTGACGCAAAAAAATAACACTGCGCAGTCTTTTG